ATCTCCTCTTGATTTAGATTAACTTTCGATCTGTGTTTATAATGGCCAGTTTTCATCAGTCAGCACAAAATTTCATAGCCTCCTTGACCTTTGACCATATATACTTGGCAAGTTGTGGCTATCTTTCAGTGATAATTTTCCAGTGGGTAAAAACATGTCAGGCAAAAGTATGTTCTGGGGACTCTTCAGAGTTCCTATTGTTGCAGAAAAGGGGGAATAACCGGGGAATAACTGGGAATAACAAATGGGAAAGGGAGTCCACAACTGCAGTAGCAGACCTGGAGTGAGACCATTGTATGTAACGCAGATTTGGGAAGGAGGAGGAAAACACCTAATGTCCTGCCTTGGTAGCCAGATCTGCCCACAGTTGCTCTTTTCAGGAAATGCAGAGCTCCCCCAGTAGTTTTTGTTAGGGTCACTGCTAAAAAGTGAAAGTATTGTATCGTGGTGCTAGAGTCTGTCTCTTTTAAGCTCTGAAATTAAACAAAAGAGCTCATTGTCAAGAGCTGGTAGTTTTTTCATGAAACAGTTTGTCAGCATGGTGTTCCTTCTGAATTCTGATTTATATGCCTCCATTCTGGTTTGAAGAAGGAATTTTGCTGCACATTTCTATTCAGGTGTAGCAAATTCTGCCCCTATTGATGTATATATTCTGATTTTCCAGCTGTAGAATAAGCAATAGCAGCAGGCTGCTCACTGACCTTGAAAAACAGTCTTAATGTTTTGCTGTATCTGCAAATGTTCTTTAAACAAGTCCTCATGTTTATTACATGTGTATTAATGGACCATTAAAATTGAAACAGCTTTATTTTTGTGATTGCCACTTCTTTCCTTTGTAGTGCATAATTGTTTATATACAACAGTGTGAAACAATTGCTGTACTTCAGCAGCTGGCAGTACTCTAGATATTCCCAAGAATTCTAAAATTTAAAAAAAAAAAAGAAAGGATGCTATTAATGCTGAGCTGCATGGACCTTGATGATGTTCCGTAGGAGAAGCTTGAATAACCGGTTTCCATGAATGTTAAAAGACATTGGGGAAAACAAATATAGAAGCTTTGCATTAGAAGGCAAACATTACACCTGCCTAGTTATTTCTTAGACTAGGCTTTATGATCTTGGGAAGAAATTTTACTGTAACTTTGAAAAGTGGTTTCATCATTAGCCTTGGATAGGGACTTTATTTAAACACGACCTGCTTTAAGATGACTCGCGTTACTTATGTTGCTGTTATAGCTTGTAATGTCCCTAGTGCTGAGCTTTAGTCATTCTTCAAGGAGCTTTTTTTGTCACAGATTTGGCAATAAGTAGAAATAAGGTTTGGAAAGAGAAATAAGGTTTGGAAAGAGATAGATAACTGCACATCATCTAATTATTTCCTGGGAGGTTGGAGGCAATAGCTTTATCTCTTGGTCATTTGCTGTGCCACTAGCATTGTCTTTCTGATCTACTGCAGGAGCTTTGAGAGTCTACACATCAAGTGAATGGCCAGAAAGCAGAAGAAATTATCTTTCCTGTCAGGTGGTGGTGCACTTGAGGCTGTCTCTGATAACTACTGCAGGTCTGAGTCAGGGTGGGGTTTGGTTGCCTTGGGCTGCTATGGTAGAAAAAGGCTTTATCTCTGTTAGTGTTGCCCTCTCTAGGTCTGGGCTAAAGACTAGCAAAAATAGCATGGCATATGTAGAGTTAAAATCTCAAATTTCTTCTTTCCTCCGGAGTCTTCTGGATGGTGCATGGCTTAGAACAGAAAGTGACAGAAGTTGCTGGGTTGTGACAAGTTGGGAGGAAAGGGAATGAAAGAACATTCCAGGGAGAGCAGGGTATAATAGTTCATTACTTGGAGCAAATCTTTGCCATGTCAATCAACCATATAATGACTTTCAGAAAAGGTCTGGTGTCTGGGAAGCCTCAGCTATTATTGCTGCTTCACTGTTGGTAAAATATTGCAACCAGAAGCTGCTAAGTTTCCTCCCTCAATGCCTTAAATAGGAGATCTATGTAACAGCCTTTTGCTTCTTCATCCAAAGAAAGCTGCTGGCCTTGGCTTGCTTGGAAGTTGGCAGAAAGGAATTCCTGCAGGGAGCAAGTTTAAAGTTAAACCCTGATCTTGGGTTATTCCAGTTTTCTCCTTTGACAGACTTTGCAATGCAAACAAGTGGTCTCTACATATGTCTGCTTGGATTAGTACATTATTTGTGTGAATTGATTTTAATAGCTTTCATCCTGCATACTGGTAGGTTTTCACTTCATGGGCAAATGGGGAAGGATTACGAGACATCTCACTCTGGCACCCTGATTGTATATTTGCTGGACAAATAGCCCAAGAGTGAAAATATCAAGATTTTTTCTCTCAAATGTGTTTTTTCACCATATAGATTAATCCTTCTGATGTAGAATCCACCTGATGTCTGAAAATATAGAATACATGTTCTCATGTGCATCACAATTGACTTTGAAGGTGCTATTTGAAAACTTGATTTTAGCTGTCTTACATTGCTACTTTTTTAAACACAAGTCTGAAAGAGAGAAGAGCTTCCAGACTGCTTGATTGGGTAATAATAAGTGAGATGTTCTCAAGCAGTGGGGACTTCTTCATGTAGACCATATTTAATATTCGTGGTATTTAATATGGTATACATTGTGCTTTTTTTCTTCAGATCTGGGAGGTTCTTTACCACATTGATCTGATGAAAAACTCCAGTTATGCTGTGCCTTGTTTCGCTACTTGCTAGTCAACTGGTCAGTCACTGTAGGGTTTTACAGCGTTACCTTTGTGCATTAGCAGAGCACAGTAGTTACCAAATCATCTTTAATCAGTTGGATTGCAGGCTCTAGGTTCTGAACTAAAAATCTGATGCACCTTTGTTTTGATATGTTGCCATCTGTGTCCTTGGTTTTGGGTCTATGCTTATCTGTTAACAACTAGCTGGTCCATTTGAATCAAATTTCCCAGCGGCTTAATTCTGACAGTTCTTTCCTAGTCCTTGGGGAATAAAGAAAAGAATATATATTTTTTTGCTGGGTCTGTCCCTCCAGTTTGTTATGCATAAAATTTTAGTAAATAAAACTCAGTTAAATACGCTAATTCACCCTAACCCTTCCAAGAGAGTGTTTCATGTCAAATAGAATTAGAAATGCACCAGACTCTTAATTTGAGGTCTAGGTTTGGCACAAAAATTGTCCTTTCGTCCTCTCATGTGTGAAGCTGAAGGTTGTCTGCTGGCTTAACACAGTCCTTAACAGCTGAGCACTTGGCCACAGTGCTCAAGCTGCAAGCATCTTCCTACAAATAATTCCTCCCTGTGCCTGTTAATCTGGGGAGACTATGAAAGAGGCAGCCCAGTGTGTGCTTATTGCAGAATTCTGTGCAGTTCTGCTGGAACTTGAAGAAAGAGCTGAGCTATACAATTCAGTGATTTTTTTTCCCTTTGTAATGACTATCTGTATCAGAAGTCTCAGAGCATTTCCAAAAGTGACTGATTGTAAAATGAGAAATAAAATAAAACTAATTCACGTAGTTATTTGTACCATAAAATTCTCCAGTTGTCAACAACAGCTGCAGCTGACTGCCTCTGTATGTAAATTTGGTTTGTGCCAAGCATATTATTAGCATCAGTGTGAAAGATCAATAGGTACAAGTGCTTAATACTGTGATTATATCTTTAATGAATCGAGAAAGATTTTATTTATTCACAGTAACAAAATTGTATGATGAAACATCTTTCCAGTGTGCCCGTTCCTCCCCTGAAATTTTTAGGTGATAGTTGCCAACCCTTCTCAGTTCAACCAGTTTTCTTTTCATATGTGGTCTAAATCAAAAACCTGATTACAGCTGGGAAGGCTAATTTCTCAGAGAAGAAAAGGCTGTTTTCCAGCTCTGATAGACCTACACTAAAGAAATTCTTTCAAAGCATTGGTACAGCTAAATGATTTTTCCTAATACTTCTGTACTTTTGATGACACGTTCATAGACACCTATAGACCATGCTGTTCTACCTGAAACAATTTTGTATGTACCTATTTTAATAAATAATCTCTGCTCTCTCCATCTTGTTCCTTCCTACCCCAGACTTGGAAGGCACCCAACTAGACAGTAAAATCATAGATTGTAGAATGGCCACCAGGCAGAATAAGCTTCAGCTGCACACATTGAGTTTCTACCTTATCACAAATACCAAACACAAAACAGACAGACATAAATAAAATCACTGCATCAGTGTTTTCCAGTTTCTTAAATGTGGAGCATGATCTAAATGCCTTAAAAAAACCCAAGTGGTATTATAAAAGTTCTCATGACATTTCAAGACTTCATAGATAAGTTTACTGTATTTTGGTTGGCCTAAAAATGCGCAAGAGTCTAATGCAAGCGGTGGTGCATTAATTGTACAGCATTATTTCTGATTGTGTTTTGTCTGCGTACTTTTGAAATTGGCATCCTGTCCAAAAAAAAAATCTGTAGTTGTGAACTAAGGTCCCTAAGATTAAAAACTTATTTGGATGCCTGTCTGAATATTTGAAGGATGGACAAAAAATATATATGGATATTTAGAACTTAGTGTTTTCAGAAGTTCATTACCAGGTACTTTTCAATTTTTAACACTTTGAAAATATCTAGTGATATTTAATAAAAGCAGCTGAACATAGCAAGTTATGTTTCCTGATGAAAGTAACATAAATATTATGTTCTCAAAGAAAATTTTCCCAGCTTTTAGGAATAGTGACCCAGAGACGGAAGTTATGGTTTTCCTTTCACCATGTCACTTTCAGAGACAAGTGATCCTGCAATATATAGCTTATCAGATGTAAGAGCATATGTTGAAGGGCACAGAAAAATAGTCCATGCAGTCTATTGCTTCATCCTAAGATGCGTCGTTTCCATTCAAATTTTAACTAACAACAAAAGTTAAAAAAATTACACTGCAAGGAAACACAGTGAAGGCTGTTGCATACAATATTTTATTTATATATATATAAAATTAAACATTATTATATGAAAAGTCCCTTTGTTAATTTTTGACCAATTACATCCTTTTTGTACTTCATGAGATCATTTTCTTTCCTTCCATCTGCTGTCCTCTGTCTCTTACTGCATATCTGAAATGGAAGTGAAATAATTTTCTTCTGTACTTATACTAGCATTATTATTCCTCCACTGTGTGTGATTTACACAATGTATTCAATAAATATATATTGTGAGCTATTGAAAATTCTGCAATTGTACCTAGCAACATATTTTTGAACGTTTGTGAACATTGACTTTTGTGCTCTTCTTTCGACTGCAAAGTCGAAGATTACTATATTTTTCTCAGATTATTTACATTCAAATAATAGTTGAAGAGGCTTTAGGAAAGCATAAACTACAATCTTACATAGTAATATGCAGTGCTCATGGCTGAGGGAGTATCTCATTTTCTAAAACTTCTGTCATTCTAAAATACATTCATGAATTCAGTGCAAATACCTAAAGTAGCAAAATACAATTAGGTCGAATGTAAGATTCTGAGAACTTTTAATCAGGAGGAAGCCCTGGCTAAATGGCTGTTTTATTAAATACATAAAATCTAATAGTATGTGCACATTTTGGGTAAAAAGTATTTTGTGTAGCGCAGTTATGCAAGATACAAATTCACTAATAATAGGATTGGCGCAATAGTAAAGTGCCAGGGTTTGAGTCAAGTTTTAATAAGTGTGTGAAGAAACAGGAGACTATGAGTAATAGTTAAAATGCCTTGCATTTTTGGGGAGTTGTTTTTTTTTTTTTTCAAGAGACAAATATCAAAAGAACATTAAAACATAAGAATTAAGTGCTGTCATCCTTTGTCTTTGAAAATAGCAGTGTAATGAGCCCAAGGATGAAATCTGAACTCTTGTTCTGGTTTAACTACATTAGGATATAGCAATAATTATAAAGAACATGTTCTACTAAACCTAATAAATGTAAATGATACCTTTATGAAGTCAATAGTAGTATGTGAAATGCATTTTAGACTAGTGAATAAATTTCAAGAATAAAGGTTCCATGCAGGGCAGTTTCTTGAGCCTTGGAGGTCATATTTTAATCATATACATTTATCATTATTAAAATCGTTAAAGTACACATTACTTGATGCGGGTCAGTGCATACTTACCATGTGAAGTGCATTTCAATTATCACTGAATAGCCAGAATTCTAAGAATTTCCAGACTGCACTTACATGTTTTTTTCATTGCACTGTCCTTTTCTTGGGGCCACGCTGAAGATTGCATTTATTTCTGAAATACTGACAGATGAATTCTCATCTTGAGAATTCAATTTTCATTCATTAAATGATTGCTTTGTTTCATTTGACGTAAGCAGTTGCCCATCTTAAACTTTGTTATAAACTTAAAATATATGTTAACTTTTGAAGACAAAAATATATTGGCCCACCTTCATGCATGTGCTATTTTAATGAGTCCTCAAATTATTTTATTGGATGAAGATGTTAGTGCAGCAACTTTATTTGGCCTTTACCCCAAAGCAAACAGGAGTGGGAGAGTGAATGTCAGGTCAGGTTTTTAATTTTCAAACTACAGCAACCCAGTGTGAGCATAAGTTCCACTCCAAATCAAAGAATTGTTTTAGGGTTTGAAGTTTGGTTTTTGGTTTTAGATTGTTTGGGGGTTTTCTTTCTCCAGTCTTGAAGAGAATTTGATCTTAGGCCAAACACAAATTAATATCTTGTTTAGTTGCACTCGTTTGGATGCTTAAATCCCCAACTGGAATAAATCTTTGTTGACAGAAGGCGTTTTAGTCCTTGTGCAGTGTTTCTGAGTGAAAAAACTACAGAATCCCTACCATAGACTTGCATTATTTATAAAGTGCATTAGAAGTATACAAGACAAAAATTAGGACTTCTTTTTACTTATAAGGTGTGAAATCTATGCTGTCTGATTAGTACTTGAGATTTTTAGGTTTTAATTCTTACTTGTAGTGCAAGTAAAAATACATGAACATTGTATTGTTTAAAATGAAGATGACCTGAATATTCATCGTATTATTGCAGTACTTCTGTAAGTCGTTGCACTGTACAAACCTGCTTCTTGAGAGGGGAAGGAGAGGAGATCTATCATCCATGTATTTGCAACAGAGAATTTGCCATTGAGGGTTATTGTTTTATTGCAGGCCACACGTTAACATTTTTGTGCGCAGTTATAATTGTGCTTTTATCGATTTCTTTCACCGTGATGACAAAAGGGTGTACCCATGTGTCTGAGATTGCAGAGAGTGTCATAAAAGCTTGTCACTATTACATCTGAATGGAGGCTTGCTCTAGTTCGGAAATGATAGTCTCAAGTACAAGTGTGACTCTGTTCTGGTGTGTAGTGCATGTACTTAATCCTTGTCTGAATACAGCAACCTAAATACTATTTGAACCTTAGTGTCAACAGCTTTATACATTTATGTGAATATCCCAGGCTGCACTTAAAACTGTCTCTGTGTGTTTGGAGCAGGTTCCTTTTTGTATTTGCTTGTATTCTAGTGTTTTGATGTGTATGAGGTAAACACTCTTCTCTTGCTGTAATGGAAAAGAATGAAGCTTAAGATAATACTGAAGTTTTCTTTTAGAAAGTCTGTCAGCTCCTTTTTTTTTTTCTTTTTTTTTTTTTTTTTTTGGTAAATACGGATGTAGGTCCAAGCACCACAATCATCGATGCTTTTATCATTTTTTTTGCGTTCTCTGTAAGAGACTAGTAATGCAGAATAATGTTTGAAGTAAGGAGTAATTTTCACTTATTACTTTTATACACATTTAATGTCTTTTTTTCATTGCTCAGTTTGCATAGTCTGAATAGTGTAATTCATAACAATAGGCTAGAATGACTAAATGATTAGCTGGCCAGCACGCAGACTATGAATATCTGCTATTCAAAGACAGCAGATTTTTTCAAATCTGTTTCTTTGTTTCTTGAGCTTTCATAAAGACATACATTCCATTACCACACTGATGGTTTTGAAAAAGTAATTTTGAAACTATTTCTTTTTTTTTTCCAAAAAAAAAACCTACTTTGAGGAGGCTCGCTGGGATTTTTTTTTTTTTTTTTTTTTACTTCTTCAAGATTGCAGTGAATGTTACTGAGAAGAATCTGGCAGATGTCCACAGACGCTTTGAGTAAATTTAGTCTTCCAATTAAGTGCAGCCCTCTTAGCCCTCTTTATTCTCCTTGGAAAGCGTGTTTTCTAACTTAAAGCTCTAAAATCATTAAACTGTGCTCCAGAGGGGAATGTGAGTTACTGAGAACAACACAGTGAACATTCGGAGTCTGAAAGATTTTCCTTCCTGTTAAAAGTTCTAAATTTTGACTCCTGTGTATTCTAAGGAATTGGAAGCTATTCTCACTTGACAGTAGGGATTGAAAGAGTTCATAGACTTAAGGCGCAGGCATCTCAGTTTTGCACTGTGGGTGTTAATCTATTGCTAGTTGCATAATGCACAAACATCCTAGTGACAAAAACAGAGATTCCCTTTTCTGTGTAACAAAGCTGGCAGGAGCAGGACAACACTGTTCCTACTCGTGGCAGTGCTTTCCAAGCTGTTAGAAATACTATCTCATTGGACTAATGTCCAAGATTTGAAAAAAACTTTATTTACTAGTGTCTTTCACCTGGCATTCTGAGGTGGTGAGAGGCATCTTAGTACCAAAACCCCTGTTCAGTGAGAAATGGCTAAAAGAATAATTGGACTGTCCTGAGCAAAAACTGCTTTACAGCTCTTAACACAGTTAACAAAACAGATGATAGCACTGGTAAACATTTTTGGCTTAGACTTAGTTGTGTGTGAGGCAAAATTATGAAAGACACTTGTTTAATCGTTTAAGTAAAATCAGCCAAAAGGAATTACACTATCAGAGTCTCTAGACTAAAGGAACTGTCTGAATAGGTAGGCTGTTCTTCTTCCTTTATCTGGTGAATTGATATTTGGGGTACTGAACATTACTGTGTATTTTATCAATGTTACTTCTCATAGTTCCCAGTGGAAAAAAAATAAAAAAATCAGTAAATATTTTCTATTCAAACAGACACAAAAATGTGAGGCAAAGAACATAGTAGTAAATTCCTCTCAATAAATTTTCATGGCTTATTTTTTTCCCTCCTCTTTCCAAATTCATTTGGTTCTTATTGTTTGCTGTTCTTTTTTTCATTAATAGCTGGGATTCCATTTCTAATTTTTTATTTCCACTGGGGTAACATTTCAGCCTGTATGCCACAGAAAAGCAGCAAAAATGCTCTTACAACTTCTAATGTAATTAATAATTAATACAGTTCATATAACATAATATAATTCATCAAAATCATTCAAGTGAGATCTTTGGTTTTAACCCAAATAAGTTTCCAATTAAATAAGGAGAAAAATACTGTTAAAACATTTATATCAGTTTTGATGTGTAGTTCCATACCTCTTAAACAACCAGGTAATAATAATGCTAGTACCTTTGATTATGTGACAAATGGTCACCATTAGGTCTCTTGTTTCCTGACACATTGAGTTGGTTACCTGTCAAGCTTGTCTCTCCGTGGTGGGTATTGGGAGGCATGCAGGCAGGATTTACCCTGCAGGTGTCGGCCTAGCAGTTTGAAACACTAAGGTTACAATAGTTGCTTGACAGTGCTCAGCCACTTTTTTGGACACCTTTATCATGATCAAGTCTGTTCAGTGCTTCTTTGCATCATCAGACTTCTGGGTGATGAGTCTGGGATGCAAATCAAGAAAAAGAGAGAACTTTCCAGCATGGTTGCAACCAGGTTCTTGATTTCTCCGCTTTGATTTCCTTCACACATGATAAGCCTTATTTCAATGAAAATTTAGTGAAAACTATTGGGTCACCATCATCTTACAAATCACACGTTAGCAATATTGTCAAGCAGAAAATAACTTTAGTGAAGTACCTTTGTTCCTAGTGACCTAGTTATACAAATGCTAATTAAATTCTGCATAGTACATACACTTGTAAAGGAAAAGTAACTTGTGATTTGGGATTATTGATGGTCCTTTGGTCCTTCTGTCTGATCAGACAAACTGTCCAGATGTTACCTGACACATCTGTCACACTAGACAAAGCCTATCATTGTTTTGTTTCTGTGCTGTGCCCTTTAGCTCTACCACAATCTGGCATGAGGAGGTGAGTTCCTTTGCCCAGGCTGCAGTATGGTGTATCTTCCTGAGGTTGTGCTGAATGAACTAGACTCAGTGGACCAAAGGACTAAAATGATGACACGTAAACAGGGAAATGGGCTGGTTTAAATCTTTTAACAGTTTGAGTTCTGTTGTTCATTTAATCCATTATATGTTAGAGAGACAAGATGAGGAATTCCTTTCACATATGTGTTGTCATTTCAGTCAATTTAAACTGCAGTATTTTAGCATTCTCTGGGCATGTTTGCAGTAAACATGTGGCGTTGTCAATGCAGTGTGAATGTGCCAATGCAGAGAAAGGGATGAATGCAGAAATGATTCTTAAGTCATGAGAGGCAATAGTGTCTCTAATTTTGTGTCTCTAATTTCTTCTTGTGTATTAACTTGTTCAAATATTCAACTCTGATAGTCTGGAATTGTATGGAAGCTGCATAGAAGGATAGGGGAAGATGTAAAAATAATACAGTGGAAATATTTCTGCTTTGCAGTCTCACTTGTATTGCTTGCAGTAGACCTTTGTGAATTGGAATCTTCATGGTATGCAGTTTAAGACAGGAATCAAGGACAGAAAAATAGTAGAAAAGAGCACAAAAAAATGTCTGCAATTTCTCTACAGCTGATTTTCTCGTCCTCTGTTGCTACTACTGTCGATGTGCAGAATTTGATGAAAATTGGTACAGTTCAGATAAGGGAGAACAGAATAGTAGAAGGCGGAATTTATTTCCAACTATAAATAGTGCATCCCTCTGCAAATTCACATCTTTATATGAAAATAATGTTTGCACATAATGCATAAACTGCTGTGTGGCCGAAGGCACAGTATACATTTCCATATGCAAAACAATAAAAACACCCAATGAACGCATCCGATGAGTGTCAGCATTTTATTTTGACAAGTCAGTGTGTGTATGTTTTTGCATATGTATGTCATACTCATTGTAAAGTATTTTTTAAATATTAACTAAATTCTTACCAGTTAACTCTCAGTTACTTGTGATTTCCTAAGAAGATAATGCATAGAGTTTTACAATTTAATTTCTGGGTGATCTGCGACCTGCCATGTCTGAATATGCAATACACCTAGAAGCAGGTCCTCACCTGATAAACTTGTTAATTCTAATGAGTCAATGGAGCTACAGCAACACTTACATAGCACCTATAAATAAGCTGTAAAATGGCTCCTCTTCCAGATAATTTTTTGTGGTATTTTTTCTATGTATCTTTCTTCTGGCTAGCCAATAGAAAATCACTTTTTTGTTGGGTCTTTTTTGTATGAGTTTTATATAAATAGTTGTGCTCTAGGTGTTACTTTCTGAATATCCAGTAAGTCCACTGAAGTTTTAAAGCAAAGTTGGGAATAAGGATCCATTTTGATATAATTTACTGATAAGCCAGCCTTGAATTTTTCTGTTCCTCTAGTCTAAGTGAAGCCTCTTGGGATGTATATTCACATTATTTCATTAGTATTATTTCACCATTAATGTTTATCTGGATTTAGTTTATTACAATTGAGAACAGAATTCACCCTTATTATTGAAGGTATCTGAGCAAAAGTTATTGCATTTTTTAATGATTTTCTTAATTATTGGGGCCAATCCTCTGTTAACTTTTAGGTAAACTACCTTGACTTTTACCCACTGAAATTCAACAGAAAAGTGCAATGTTTCAAGAGACATTAAAATCCAGTTTGAAATTTCTTTTCTGTCCTTTTTTATGGACGTAATTTGAACATGCACAAGAAAGCAACCTAATGTTAATTAAGAAATTAGCATAGTTGTGCAGTTAGAGAAGTCTTCAAAAATAAATAAAAGGGAGGTCAGTGAAAGAGGCAAAAACTCTTGAGTCTAAATATTACATTTAGTTTGTTAATTTAAAAAGTAAACCACCTTAAGGAGATATATTAATCATTGTGTTTGCCTCATTACCTTTGCCTTGGTACCTGTAAGGAGATGATAGGGATGAATCCCAAGAAAGCCAAATGCAGGGAGATTAGATAGAAGCAAATCAGGCTTACACTCGGAATTGGTAAATGCATGTGAAAAATATTTTCGTGTGTGTGTGAATGAGAGCATCTTCCACGGATTGTTTTTGTGGGGTGCTTTTTTGTTACCACCCTTGGTGGGCTTCTCCGTAGCAGGAGTTTCACAAGCAGCCAAACAAAAAGCAGCAGTAGAAAACCTCCTGTTGTAAAGTCACTACTGCTAGCATCACAACGTATTGCACAAAACAGATTCTTGGTGGTATATTTTAATATTCTTGTCCATGTGTTTTCTCTCCATAATTAACTTGAAAAATAAGTAAAATGCTGTAATACTGCTATTCTGTGCAAGAGAATCCCATCACATGACAGTGAAGCCCGCTTGCCATTTCTTGGGATAAGGGGGGTGGAAACAACCTAGAAACCCGTGTCAGCTGTGAAAGGAGGCTCTTCAAAGAATATAAAAGAAAAATTGTAATTAAAAAACAAAAGGCAGCAAATATTGTATAAAATATTAAAAATGAACACAGGTGACTGAAAGAAGTTAAAAAAATAAATCTCTAGTTCTGATTTGCATGCTACTGTGCATTTACTAAACAAAATCCTAAAACAGAAGTGAAAAACACTAGATGAGAATAAAAACTTTTCTAAAATCAGAATATTTATTCGTCCCTAATCTTTCACTTAAAGGATCTGGATGCTGTTAATGCATGCTGCTGTGTTGAACTGTCCAAGGTCAGGGGCTTTTTTGCCGTTTTGCTTTCCCCAGAAGCAAGCTTTGAGTATCTAAAAATTCAACAGTAGAGGGGAAAGTAGAAAACCACAAATAAACACACGTCAGATTGCATATAGTTTGCATTTTTCCATTGGCCATCAAGGGTAGGCTGGTTTCCCTTTCTGTTCCAGAAAATGAGAAAAGAGCATACATTCTCTCAAGAAGAAGACCCTCCTTTGACCCGCTGGAGTCAGAGCTGGCAGCCTGTCCTGCTGTTTTTCCGTGTTACCTCGCTCGAGTGAATGTGCATGTCCTCCTAAAGCAGAACAGACACATGGCTCTCCCACTGGGAGTCTATTACCATAATGCCCTATATCGTCTTTATTTCTGATGATGTTCTGTTCAGAAAACCATTGCCTACTGTGAAAGCAGGTGCTCTCTTCTCAACAGCACCTTTCCCATGGGGTTCCCATCTTCACAATTATAGTGCTCCGGGAGGTGATGTTCCCCTGTTTCAGTTAATAGGTGGTGGTTTTCACTTTTAAGTGCCTGCAGCTTGTTACTACTTCATCTTCCAATGTGTGCATAAAGCTGACAGAGAGCAGCTTCATCCAT